AACTCTGTTTTTGGTTCAAACCATTTCTTTTAGGCTCTGCTTTTATAAGTTCGGCTCTTCTTAACTCTTAAATGCACTCTTAATTTCACATAAGAGGACACAACTGTAGTCAATTCAGAGTTAACGATACCCCAAGCTGGTTATCCTTCGTCGGATTTAATCCGTCGAATGTTCCGCTTCCGAAGAATCTCACTCTCTCTACTGATGGTTGGAAGTTTCCCAAATCCACCCAAAAAGGTGACAGAATCTTAAGTCTCTCAAATCTGAGCTCTATTGACTGATCTTGGTTTGTTATATGTAGGAGTCTCGTTTCACTATCTTGGAACTGATTTAATGTTTAGATTTATTAGAAAGATTCAAGATTCTTGCAACATTTGCATTATTTAGGTCCCATGTGCTCAAATGATTCTCTTGTGCTTCTCTTTGTTTTGAAGGTAAGAATTTTCTTGAAGTATGTTGTATGCCGGATCCAGACTATAATAACACAGAGATCATTGATAATGAGTTTCTTCCTAGACAAAATGGAGATCTCACTATCATGTACGATGTGGTTAGATCATATGCATCAAATTATATGGCACAAGTCACTATGGAGAATCATAACCCGCTTGGCCCGGTTGGATAACTGGAAAATTAGTTTTGACTGGATGCGGGACGAGTTTATCAATACCATGAAAGGAGCTTACACGAGTCTTGTTGATTCATTGGATTGTGTCAACGGTCCACAAGCCGAGTACTATCAAGCGCTTGACTTTTCCAATGTGTTAAGCTGTGCAAGACGGCCAACCATCATAGATCTCCCTCTTACGAAGTATAATGATTCTACGTTTGGCCTTATCCCGTTCTGCTTTAGAAATGGGACGATTCTGCCACGGTCGATGGGTCCAAGCAAGTCGATCTCAGTTTTCCAAATGCAGGTTTACAAAATGCCTCCTGATCTTAACATCTTTGCTCTTTCACCACCTCAGAACTGGAGGATCAACGGTACACTTGGTCCTCCTGTTCGAGTGAGAAAGATGCGATGCTGTGTATCTTTCTCTGCCTACTTCAACGACTCTATCATCCCGTGTAAGACTTGCGCTTGTGGGTGTTCCAACGCCAAAGTGGCTCGGACGTGCACCACAACCTCCCGGGCTATTCTTCTACCTCAGCAAGCTCTCCTGGTTCCATTTGAGAACCGAACCGAACCGAACTTAGTATCGCTTGTGCCAAATCCATTGCCTTGTTGTGGGGATAACTGCGGAGTTAGCATTAATTGGCATTTGGCTACAGACTATCGAGGCGGATGGACAGCCTTCAACTTTGCTGATTGGTTTACTACTTTACTGCCATTCAAATGAAAAAAGCAGCACCTGGTTTCAAGAAAGCATACACGTTCAACGCAACTACACTTGGTATCAACAGGGAGAACAACACTATTTTCATGGAGGGTCTTCCCGTAGCAGAGAGCGACGGTGAGAACCCATTGAAGAACCCGCGGATACCCGGAAAATCCATGTCACCAGCTTATATAGGTGCTATGAATATATATGTTATAATTCTTTGTATTGTTTCTGATTAGAGTTTCAGTAATCACAAAATCATTATGTATAACTATTTTGTTTCTATTTGTTCCTAATCCTCCAAACCCGGTAAATCGATAAACGACCGAACCCGTTCTTGTCTAAGTAGTGGCAATAGTAAAACCGGTCAAGAGCGAGTATGCATTGATCGGATCACAATACCGTATCTTTATTATAATGAAGAAACATATTTACACAAATGTTCCTAACACTCGATAAAAAGAGAAGCAAAACATTGCTAATTGTGGTAATTATAAGATCAAGAACTCTAAATTATTGATCTTATATGTCTCAGTCTTAGTCTTTATGCAAGACTGAGGACAAAGATGCAAACAAAATATCTTCAGGAAATTCACATTACTCCTAATAACAAAACGAAAAGAAATTATTGTCTTTCTATAATCTGCTTATGAATTTCCTGCAGATTATATATATCACCTAAACATACAACATATGATCCATTCTATATTCCACTTCGGATTATCGCCATTTGTGTAGAGTTTTTCTACTTCTGAGG